GAAAGAGACTTCACAACCTTCACAACTGGCAGCTTGTGCCAGTGCTCCGTCACCCTCACAGTAAAGAAGTTTCTCCTTATGTTGAGGTGGAACTTCCTATGTTCTAGCTTGCACCCATTATTCCTTGTCTTATTACTGGGCACCACTGTGAAGAGATTGGCACCTTCCTCTTGACCCCTACTCCTCAGGTATTTATATATATTAAGAAGATCCCCTCTCAGCCATCTCCTTTCAAGACTAAACAGCCCCAGTTCTCTCAGTCTCTCTTCACAGGAGAGATGTTCAAGTTCCTTAATCATCCTTGTAGCTCTCAGCTGGACTCTCTCCAGTAGGTCCCTGTGTCTCTTCAATTGGGGAGCCCAAGACTGGACACAGGATTTCAGGTGTGGTCTCACCAGGGCAGAGCAGAGGGGGAGGAGAACCTCCCTAGACCTGCTGGACACACTTTTCCTAATGCATCCCAGGATCCCATTGGCCGTCTTGGCCACACGGGCATGTGTACAACTTACTGTCCACTAGGACTCCAAGGTCTTTTTCCATGGGGCTGCTTTCCAGCAGGTCAGCCCCTAATCTGTACTGGTGCCTGGTGTTTCCCCTGATGCAGGACTCTACACTTGTCCTTATTGAACTTCATGAGGTTCCCCTTCACCCAGCTCTCCAGCCTGTCCAGATCTCATTGGATGGCAGCATAGCCTTCTGGTGTGTCAGCCACTCCCCCCTAGTTTTGTATCATCAGCAAACTTGCTGAGGGTACACTCTATCCCCTCATCCAGGTCATTGATGAAGATATTGAACAAAACTGGATGCAATGCTGATCCCTGGGGGCACAAGCCTCCAACTTGGCTCTGTGCTACTGATTACAACTCTGTGAACTCTACTGTTGAGCCAGTTAACAATCCACCTCACAGTCCAATCATCTATCCCACATTTCTTGAGTTTTTCTATGAGGATGTTATGGGAGGCAGTATCAAAAGCCTTACTGAAGTCAAGGTATATGACATCCACTACTCTCCCTTCATCTACCTATTTGGTCACGTCTTCATAGAAGGATATCAGATTAGTCATGCAGGATTTCCCCTTAGTAAATCTATGTTGGCTACTCCTGATAACCTTCTTTTCTTTCATTTGGTTAGAGATGGCCTTCAGAATAAGCTGCTCCATCACCTTTCCAGGGACAGAGGTGAGGCTGACTCGTCTTTAGTTGCCTGGGTCCTCCTTCTTGCCCTTTTTGAAGACTGGAGTGATATTGGCTTTCTTCTAGTCCTCAGGCACCTCTCCCGTTCTCTCTCTGCCTATTCCCTGATGGAGGTAAGCAGTACAGCAAACTAATGGAGGCCTTTGGCCAGACCTTTAACAGCAGAGACCTTTAACAGTGGCACCTTTGGACACTTACTGATGGGAATGACTTAGGTGAACACTAGCTTGCTGTGCACTAACCCTTGCAACCACTACCACTGCAGTAATTTTTATCCTGCATGTCATACCCTGAAGCATATGCCTTTCCATTGTCAGTCACCATGTGGCAGCAGTCTAAATGGGGAAACAATCCTGATCTGATCAGACTGACAAGGCTGTACTCCACTATGCTGAATAACAATGGGGTTCACCCATTCTATCCAGGAGTCACCAAAAACTCAAAAGAAAAAGAGATGGTGATTTCTGCAATTTCAGATTTAAAGTTTGGGTGTAGATAGACCAATAACGTAGTTTACCATTGTCTTTCTACAAAGAGACAGCTCTTCTAAGAGACCCCTCCAGAGAAGTACCCTGAATCTGCACAGCTCCCTACAACAAGGATAAAGGGGCAAGCAGAAGCCACCACACTGCATCAGTGATACAGAAAGGCAGGGTCAGATAACTCGTCATAGCCTTAACTCTGTCGATTTTCTTGAACAGTCTTTGAAGTAATTCACACCACTTCCTTCTTCTAGTGAATATTGTATGTTTGGGGGTGACCTCTTCCAAAACACACCATGGTATTCCCCATAACCACTAGTACAGTATGGAGACTATGAGAGACTTAGTAGCACCTAAACAGAAATGCAGGTTTAGAACTGGGCTGGGTGCAGAGAACATAAGGGGCTGAGACAGGGGAAGGAAAGATGCTGTTTCACTCGAGCTCCTGGCATCACTGGCTGGGGGCAGGGTGAAGGCAGGGTGCTGGGTAGCACAGCAGGTGGATCTTAGGAATGTGTGACTTGTCTTCAAAGAAGAGGTAGGTTTAACGGATGTCTCACCAGTGTCTGGAGTATCACTGGGCAGCTTGTTGTTCTTCCATACAAAATCCGGACTGGTAGTCACCGCGTGTGTCTCATTCTTTTGAGTGTTGAAATACAGAAGAGGTTTGTACTATGGGTTTAGGAGGGAAGAAATACAGTCAGCAGCTGTGCTCTCCCTCTTTCATCCTTTACTTCAAACTATTGTTAATAATTGTCCAAACTCAGATAAATTCTTGGTCTTTCTGCTACAGTGGTGCATTCCACGGCTTAGCCATATGCTTGGCTGCCATGTTGTTCCCCATTCCTCTCTTCTCTCAGAAAAGAAATTTATTAGTCCCCCAAAATACCAGCTGCACTTCACTTACTGAATCACCAGATGACATCAATCATGTCAGTCTCCAGCACACCTCTCATGACCCCCTCCTGGCATGCACAGCATGCCTTGGCATGCCACCACTTCTGCTGTAGTTATTTTCATCATTCTTATGCAATCGTACAGGGCATTTTGTTTCTTCTTTCATATATAAGGTCAGACAGTTGCTCCCTGGTCATACGTACATGATTTTCAGTCTGTGATGTGTACATCAGGGTCAAATTTCTATCAATGTCTCCAAATTCATCTAGAGTCACAGGACCCAGTACACCTGCAGACACAAGGAATTAGTCAGAGGGCTTGTGCTTCTCCTCAAAACACAAATATATGGCAGCAAGAATGGGATAAATAAAAGGGATTCTGATGCTTGGGATATTTTCCTTCTTCATGTACGTGCTAGAACACATATCAGCTTATTGTGGCACTACTTCTCCCTTTATAGCACACTACATTTTCTCTACAAAATCCAATAAAAGGTGCTGATCTGACTGCACTGAAGAGGAAAGTCTCCCTTTAGCTATAGAAAAATATATTTGTCAGGTTTCTTCAGCATACCAAGAATGTCAGAGTAACCTCCCTTGAAAGGACCATTTTAGAAGTGAAAAGGAAAATTGCCTGTTTCCACCTGCAGTTTGAATCTGTCAGCTAGAAAGGAAATATAGAGATACTTTTATTCCCCTTATTCTTTCGAGGGCTACCTGCTTGGCTCTAATAATATTATTTTAACTAGGTTCTTTTTCTCTTTAACTTCCTGCCTCTGTATGTCAACAAATGTGCAGATTAAGAAATTGCCTGTGTAGCACATTCCAAGGATTTTAAGGTGGAGCTTCCTAAGTCCCTCAGTGTGGCTTGACTTTGGTCTCATGAAGTCAGTCATTTCAACAAGAGCACAAGCTTAGCCAATACCCCCACTCCTGAAAGTCTCACCTTCTTTTTTTTTCCCTTCTTTTTTCAAGAGAGTCTTTCTGACCAGCTTCAGATTGCTCTTTTGCTGCTGTTGCTGATGACTTATTTTATTTTTCCTAAAGCTGAGCATTATCATTATTTGAGTTTGAGAATTACTGTCTTCCATTTCACCTCAAAACTTGATGCGAAGTTTTTCACAGTCCATCTTATTAATATCAAAATAATTATTATATGAAGTCCCTAATCTACCAGCTTCAAATATAAGAAAGAATGAAGGTGGTTCAATCTTTCACTTTTAAGATTTTTTTTAAAACTAAACCTATAACTAATGTGGAGCATTACAGTGCAAGTTTCATTTCATATAAATAAAAGAGGTTGTGCAACTTATCTTTCAAATTTTGAGTGAAACTGAAGAGATGAGTTTACTGCTATTCAAAAAAGGTTCCTGTCTCTGGGAGGAATTAATAAATTATATTTTGCTGGGTCTGGGATACCATGACTAATGCAAAAAAATAGCCCAAAACCTGTTATGCCACAATAGGAGAATCTAGGAAACTTCTACACATGTGCTTGCTGAAAGCAGATGGGATATAATCACAAAGCTTTTTGTTGTCATTTTTTCGCACAGATCGCTGATGTGAAATGACAGCTGGGACTTTGCTCCCAGAGAGGTAATATTATCACTTCATTGTGTAAGTCTTGCCTCTGTCTTTTCCTAATGATCAAACTCTGTGATTTGAAGCCTGTGGCCTCCAAAAGCCCGCTGGTGCCAGACAACCTGTGAGATGAACAAGAAAGCTAACTTATAAGACCCAACCCACTGCCAGCTGTCTTAACCTCACACTGCAGGCACCCAGGCTTACGATAGCTTTGTAAGCTGGAAAAATGTTGAAACTATTTCATTAAAGCTTAGCTAAGTGGACTTTAGAGCCATTTTTAACATCAATCATATTTCACATATACTGGCCTCAAGTCAAGACTAGACATTTGAGGAAAGCTTAGAAATGCCAGTGTTGTGAATTAACAATCTGAATGCCAGGTTGCCTCTTGAGGAAGTATGGACTTTGAAACCCACCTATGTGCCTCAGTCTTCCAGCTCCTTTCTCATCCTCCAGATAGTCTCCACACACAGAGCTCAACTTTTTGTCCAAAGAATGACACCAGCGGCAGCTCCTCATACCTGTCCTCCATCTCTGCTGGCTGGGAAGCTCTGTGTCTCTGCCTTCATCTACCCCTCATTAGGCAGCACTATTCTTTAAATGTGCTTTGTACTTCAAAGCAGCCTAGAAAGTAGTCTGGTCCTCAAACAGTCTGTTGCTAATTCCAGTGTTTCAAATTATCATCATTTTGACCTTCTGCCTCTTCTGTCTTGCATGCACTGAGGTGATTCCATATGACTGCTAAGTGGTGCTTCTGCTAATACTGAAGATAATATCCTTGGCAAAAAATACAGAAAAATAAAAAGATTGGGAATAAAGCTCATTGAAGGGCTTGGATTTGTTTAGTGTAAAAGTCACTTATCCTAAGAGTGCTGAAAAACAAATGTTCTTCCCTTCATCAATTTAGTGAATCCTGCACAGGACTGTATTTTTTTTACCTTCAAAAGTGATATTTCGAGATGCATTGATGAAACTGAGATGTGATACAGGATTCTGGGATACGATAAATTTCTTCAGTATATGTCCAAACAGCAAGACTGCATTAAAATAGCCAATGACAAAGTCATCTTCCATCTAGAATAGGAGAAAAAGAAAATCAGCAACTTGAGAGTTCATGTTTCTCCTTTAAAGCTGCAGTATGTTTGGTGGTCTCTATCTGGCAAAAACTCAAGGATGAAAGACCCAAATCTGCTGGACACAAAGTTAGTAGATGGACAATGCCACATCAGCATTCTCACTTGGAAACATAAAACTAAACAAATTCTGGTTTTGGTATACAAAGACGAGGAGGTGCTGAAAACTTTAAAAAAGGCCAATATAAAGCTATGGCATGATGATCCTCGTGCAAAGGATTCAAGAAATCCTCCATTGCAGGTTCTGGGCAGGTCTGTTCAGCAATGGTTTTGGATTAGACTTTCTGTACAGATAATCCAGGGTGGTGCCACCAAGTCTGGGCTTCCAGATGGCCATACCTCAGGGGTAAGGAGCTGTGCCAGTATTTCCAGCACCATGCCATAGAGCTAGTACCCAAAAAGTGTTGAGCCCAGGCTGGAGAATCTGGAGGCCCTGTAATCCAGCCAGAAGCTTCAGGCTGCTTGATAGAGAGCTGGAGCTCAAACCCAAAACCTGGGAGGAACTCTTATGTGTAGAGTCTGGTTCCTGGGCAGATGGCAGGAGTACCAGTTTCACGGAGCAGATACAGGGTGTGCATAGTTTCTGCTTTTCAGGAAATTAAAAAAAATACATATTTCCTACAGAAAAAAAAAAAAGTTCCCATTTTTGAAGTTTAACTGGAAAGTCCCCGGACGGAAACAGCAATCATTGCCACTGCTTATACATATCTGCACATAAAAACATCAGTCAACAATTATTCTGAACTTTCCATTCTCACATCTCAGTTACATCTATAGATCTTCCTTCAGTGATGCTTTGCAGCTACATCTAAGATTGTCAACCACTCAGAAGTGGGCATGGGGAAGACTATGTACCTGCAAATCTCCCTCACACCCTGTGAACATGACACTAGCATACAAAATTTAAAGCTTGAGTTGAACTTTGCAAAGCAGGAATATGAGACCCTGCATGTTTGCCTTATGATATTTTACATCATTACAGCAGGATAAAATGTCATCCTGTGATACAGTAAGAAAATATCAGCATAGAAGCATGATGGGGGATGATTGCAGCTGCATTTTTAATTTTCATTTCATACTACATGAATATGAATTAATTGAATGCAATAATCAGATATAAAATAGTGTGGTTACCAGCGGGGCATCCACAGTCTTCATGGTATTCAAGCTGTAATTATCTGGTGGCAGAGTCAGAACAAGCACATTCTGCATGTAATGGGCTGAGATATTGTCCCTGAAGTATGTGTTACTGTAAAGCAAAGCACAAGAACCCCACAAACAGTCAGCAACAGGGGCAGTGGTGACCATGACAGAATAACTCTCCCCAGTGGCACAGTTATTTAACAGGTTAAAAGAGTAGTTCTACAAATAAAATTTCATCATGGGCAAAACTCTATGTTGTTTAGTCCCTGATGCCAGCTTCTGAGCTTAACTATATTAAAAGGTAATATCAAAGAGATCGAGAATGTGAAACTCAAAGGTTGCGGTGAATTACTGTTATTATTGCAACTGCTTGATTTCTGTCCTGTTTATTTTCTCTTCTGTCAAGCAGGAGTTTATTAAAACCGAGTCTCTTCTTGGAGTCCATAGTACTGCTCTCTGCAGTTTCTTCATGTTATTGTGCATGTTTCTGACCTCTTCAGCACTTTTTTGCATGTTCCTCTAATTTTGATATTTCCTGCTGGAATTGATCACAGCAGGATTTGCAATAAAAGCATTTAACAGGAGAGCATGAAACAACCGGAGAGGTGCAGAGAGTAGCTTATCAATTTATTTGTTTAATTCAGTGAGCTACGAAAATCAGAGGAAACTATGTGAACTTGAAAACTATGCTAAAACAAGCAGAAAAGGTTGTAGCTTTCAGGTATCTTTGGTTTCACTCTGACAGGCCATCTGGAAGTGTTTCACAGACTGGCAGCCACTGGATTCACATGTTACAGAGGACTTTAGTAATAGATATTAGTGTCAAGTGGTAGCATCTGTCATTGCAATAGCTAGATAGATTAAACAAAAAACCATACTGTGTGAGCTTTCTCTCATTATCCATGCTTGATTCACCTTTTATTTTTTCAGTCAATATGGTGTTAAGAATTTTTGGAGACCACAGACTCTGCTCCAGGGCCATCAGAGCCTTTCTCTGAACCTTCTGACTTGTACATTGCACTTTTCACCCTGAAGAATTTCAAATTGCTTTTCATTCAGGCTTGAACTGAACTAGCCAGGTGAAAAGTCAACTTCATTAGACTCCACCAGACTGGATAATCCTACAGCATCCCATCTTCCCTGACACTGTGCTGGTGTCGTTGCTGCCAGAAGGCCCTGAGTTGAAGAAAATCCATTACTTTGTCTGAGGGATTTGACTCCTGGAGAAGCATGGGACCTTGCCTACTGTCTTCTCCTACAGCTTGAGTTTGGATCTAACACATGTCTGTATTGTGTTCTTCTTTAAAAACAGGATTTGAGATACTCAGCAAAAACAGGGGTAGGTAGCAAATTTAAGGAAGCCAGGATGTAAAACGGGCTGAGGCAGCTGAGTATACCAGAAGGATGGATATCACAGCAGAGAAGCCCCTAATGACCCTCACCTATTGTCAGGAAACTATTATGTATGTAACACCAGTAAGTAAAAGCACCGATGTACGTTGAACCCATTGTGCAGTTGCAAAGAAAGAGGAATTGTGGCCAGTTGCCTCAGTAAAAGCAGCTGGGGATTTCTAGTGCCTGGATAAAGCAGTGGCAAGTCTATAGCTCTTAGAGGCACTTCTGAAAAATACATATGGTGAACCTGAAAGTGTACAGAACAGAGAAGATCCTGTTAAAACTTGAATCATAGGCTCCAGTTCGGACCCAAAGGTTAAATGACTGAAGTCAGTAATCCAAAGTGCCTCAGCCCTGCCCTCTCAAGGTCAGCTTTAAATGGGCGAGCTGGGGAGTCCCACAGGGCCTGGAACTCTTCTGTTACATCAGCAGTGAAATCAGTAAGATGGAGATGTGGGCACATACATTTGTCTTGTGCTCATCCATACCAGTACGCTGCCAGCACAGTCCTGGCCATGATTTTGGTCTAGGCTGACTAGCTTCCTCCCAGACTGTGACTTGCTACAGTGACTGGAGCTGTACCAAAAAGGCAGTCTGGGCATCTACGTTTAGCCATATGTGTGCTGTGTCACCTAGGCTAAGGGCCAGAGATCAGCTCTTGATCCTCATAAAGAGACAAAGCTTTTGAGGCTACGATTGATAAGGCCAGTTTACATCAGTCCTCATCTATAAAGATTTTGTAATCAGTAATATCAAGGTGAAACTGAACGACAGAAAACTTAGGTTGAATACAAAGAAATATCTCTGAAAACTTAGATTTATATAGTTATAAAGATGTTGAAGAGACAGTTATAAAGGGGAAGATTTATAAAGTGGAAAAGACAATTGTACCATGCTTTTAAATCAATTAAAAATGGAATAAGTGGAGCCTAGAAAAATATGCTATAAACCACATTTACATAGTTGTCTGATTGGGCAGAGTGTATGAAATAGTACAATATCTCATATGAACAGTTCATGACCATTCTGACAATAGAATCTATAGCTCTCTCATGGCTTCCTGCACTCAGGATTCTACAGGATGACATTAACCCTACCGTCTGTCTCACTGCCTTAGAAAAATATTATGTGAACTAAAGGAGATGTTACGGAGGACGTACCACAAATTAAACAACAAGCAGCTTAGATAAATGGCAAGACAAGAGAAAAGATGGCAATGGAAAACATTTTGTGGGTAAGCATCTCTTCAACAAAACAGTTCGATGCAGACTATTCCCATTATCTCTATCCTTCAGCAAAGTGCAGAGAAAAGAGGAAAAGCAAAGGTGATACTTTACTTGAAGAGATCTATCAGGATGATAACAATATCTTCATCAGTTTTCTCCATCCCTAGGTCTTTGCCGATGACATCTGGAGAGCCACACATGATGATCACTACAGATGGAGCAAAAATAGTGACAGATTGGTGAATGGCCACAGACCAGAAGAGGACATTTGCCTTCTCCCTCATGCTTGAGCAGCAGCCAGTAGAGCAACGCTGGGACCCATGCACAGAGCTGCAGCCTCTCTGCAGTACGATGGGGATATTTGAGGGAAAGTGGTAAAAAGTGCCTCAACGCCTGCACCATTTTCTGTCTGATGGTACCAGAGCAATACCATTATCTCACTCAAACAAGCATTAGCAGTTCTGACACAATATGAGCTACTGAATATGAACATTTCTAAGGTAAATGGCATTGAAGTAATAGTTTCATTGGCGTACTTATTCATTGCATACTCACTTGGCCTGCTGATGCCAGGTGCTTAATCTTAGGAGAAGATGAGGTATTTACTCATTCATTTTTCCAGTTTGGATTGATCACTTACAGAAAAAGTGCCCCTCAATGGCACAAATGAGGCCCATATATGTACCAGGGCTGCAAACACAGGAATGGTAGAAAGCGAAGCACTCTTGTAGTAGCTAAGGCCCTTCTTAGAAGGAGCTGTGATTCCTGGATTTATGAATCTTTCACAACACACAGTTTGTGCCTAGATGGGATAATTCATCATAAAACCTCTCTAGAACCAAGATATTCCTCCATATTTTACGGGGATGGAGAGAGGAATCTAGGAAATTTGTGCCATTTTATCTTTGCGTCCATGTGAAATCTGTATCTGTGTTTCTCAACTATTTCTGTGGACAGACATCCCTAAAATGTAAGTAAGAGTTAGGTTTCATTTTCTCAGAAAAGCAACTTACCTGCAGGGGAAAGTGAACCCTCAGCACCCCCTTACCATTGCTTTTCCGGTTTGGATCTTTCACAATATTTTTAAACTGATCCGAAGTCCTTAAAATGTCTTTGAACTTCAGTTTTTCGGAGAAGTGTGTTATTCCAGCATCTAGCGCATTCATGTACCTGACACAAGGGAGCATGGATATTGTCAGAAAGTTACAAACCCCTCACATTCTCCTAAACAAGCCAAAATGCAAAATAGATATGCTGATTACAGCACACAAGAGTGTTTGTAAGGCAGTTTGGAGAGCTTTTTTTTCTGGAGGAATAAGAGAAAATCAATACAGGACATGAAAGTCTTAGAAGTGTTTGGAAAGTCACCCAGAGGTATTTGAGCCGAATTCTACAAAGGATGTGTTTGGAGAATACAATGATATAGTAAGATATTAACAATTATGAAAATGGATCAGGGATATGGGGAAATGAGAGTGACGCTAACTGGGAGGCAGAGACAAGAAGCTCTGTTGTTTTAAGACATCAGTGGTAATCTTAGAAGACACATGTGACACATGTGACATATTCAAAGGAGTAAATGGGAGCTGCAGAAAGAACTGAGATAACACACATATACCCTGACCGTGAGACAAGTGAAGTAAGGAAAAAAGCAAAAAAAAAAACCAACAAAAAAAACCTCTTTAATGAGTCAGTTAAAACCTGAAGGGGGGAAATGAGGACAGAGAAAAAAATGACCAAGTGAGTTAAAGCTAGCTAAAAGATTAAGCAAAACCAGCCAACTCCTAAATCCTATTCTTGCCTCAACATGTGTCTGAGAAGGGACATTCTGTATGAAATAAAGTTGTTACAGAGGGAAAACCAAAATAAATGTCTTTATTTTCAAACTGTTTAAATTTTGATGTTAGCAACACTGAGATCCCAGTCCTATAAACTACTAAATATCTTTTGCTTTTTTTTTTTCCAGGAACAGAATCATTAACTATTAATTTACAGGAACATATGGAAAGTTGAGACATAACCTGATTTTGCTATCACTGTGGGTATTCACTTATTTTTTATACATATATGGAGAAAACAATTAGTCCACACAGTATAACTTCTGCTTTAGCAAAAATTGATTTTTTTAATTAGTTCAAAAACATTCAAGTTGGCACATTCATTTAAGCAGAATGAGGTGTACTTTTACAACTATATTAGGATGAAAAATATGCAGAGATACAAAATTTATTCTGATTTCTGAATTTGTTAATTAAAGAAAAGAAGCTTGAACAATTCTGAAGTCATACAGAAGTGTGAATGAAGACAAAGTAAGAAACACTTGGGAAATAACTTACATACACTGACTTCTCTAAAGGTATGAAACCTGCAGGATTAAAGGGATTTAGCTAAAGTATGTGTAATGCATTGGCAATTATAGCTGCAAACATGAAAAAAAAGGGATTGTAGTAAGAGATAAGCAAAGTGCACTAACGTTTCAAAGCATCAGAGAAGTGATCAAGCTGCTAGCTATACTAAAAAAGGAGGAAACAATAAAAGTCACTAAATATCTACAAAACGGTGAATTGGAGATAAGGTTTTACGCACTTCAATTCAGAAAAAATTAATTCTGTATGCAAAATATTCTGTAAGTACATGCGTGTATCACTCTGAATCCAAGTCATAAATTTTGCTTAAAATGCTGCAGGTTCCTCAGGTAATTAATTGTAAAGGTAAATAATAGTGATTTCCACAAATCCTTGGCTGTCTTTGAGCTACATTTATAAAATTAGTAGGAGAAAGTAGATGATTTTTTTTTTAATTAATCAGCATTTTATGTCCCAAAATTGGGAAAAAAAAGTCAAAGTAGCATGGAAACACTCACATGAGCTGAAAATTAAATGAGTCAATAATAGAAGAGTAATGATAAATATCATTATATTAAAGAGTCTATTTGACTAGAACTGGTCTTTGATTTTCGGCAAGGAGAAAACTCAGCATTCTTGAGAACCAAGCACAGGCTGTTCAGATGTCAAAGTGAAAACTGTCTCCTTTTCTTCAAACTGGAGAGAGCATAGCTTAAACTCTGAAATCATTAGGAGTCATTTTGTTCCAAGAAAGCTACAGTTTGAACTTTAGAAGCATTTTGAAGTGACAATAGTGCCCACAGACTGAAGCCATTAATGTAAAGAAACATTACAAGAGCTTGATAAGACCTCTGACCTAAAAAGGCATCTATGGAGAGCCTGGTGGAGGAGCATCGTATCACACTATTTACATCAAGGATGCAGAAAACAGATATTTCCAACAACATGTGGGCTATGCTGTCTGTGAGAAAAGCCATGAATACTTAAAAGTAGACTGAGTGAAATATTGAGATATTCAGTACAGCTAAAGGATATCATTCATCTTTTCCTTCTCTCATTCCTCAGCAGCCCTAAGACACCTCCCAAAACGTAGGACTTGAAGGACAACTTGTAAGAACTGTGTCTGGGGATGGAGATAGGATTTACCAACAGCCACGTCACAGGTGGATCCAGATCTTACCAGAAGCATGCCTCCAAGCTATCGTCCCTCTTGTAAATGTAGACAGATTCCCAGGCTGTGGTTTTGAATGGCAACCCAGATTCAGTCCAGAAATAATAGAAGAAGTCAATCACTTTCCTGGCTGGAGTCAGAAGCCGGGTTAGGTTTACTTTGTAGTCACATGACAGTCCAAAACTCCCTACAGAGATCAGAGGCAGGCTCAGTGTTGTTTCAGCTCTGAAGGGAGAGACAAGAGGACAAGTCTGAATGGACTGCTGTCACCCTGAGGCAGCTGCCATGTGATTTTCACCCTCAGCTCCCTTTCCTCTTGTGCCCTGCTTAAGTTCAGCAATTTGAACCTGAAACAGAAAGCTCCTCAAGATCACAAGCAGATTTTAAGTCAGTACCGGCACAGAAGAACCCTGTTGAAGTGATCCAGGCAGCTTCTCTCACTACCCCCAGTTCCCTGTGCCCTTTTGGGTACCATGCACCATTTCAACTCAAGCTATGACAGGAGTCCAAAGGCTCAGGGGCCCATCCAATTCTCCCCAGCTGTCAATGAAAGTCTTTGGCATCATTCTGGGCAGCTCCATATCCAGCAGATAGAAAAGCAAACATAAATTTAGGAGATGTGATGAATAAAATAGGTTACATTTGGCGCTACATAATATTTTACCATGGTCCTATATGTATGTAAGACTTATTCTTTTGATTCTTCTATAAATCAATCACACGCATTTACCAGTAGGATTGTATTTGCTTCTGGTCATGACTTTCAAAGAAACATACAGAGCTAAAAGCAGATAAAACTTGAGGTAAATGTCTCAATCTTCCCAGTATCTCTCATCAAAACCAAAAGGCTATGAAGTTTAAAAAGGGTGCATGATTCACATGGGTAACAATATGGATTTGCACATCATAATTGATGGGTTGTTTTAAATTGATTTATGCTAGAAGTCTGCAGATTCAGCTTACACTTTTCCTAATATCTGAGAATGAACATATTAATGTTTAATATAGAATAGAATTATACAGATTCATGTATAGTAGAGAGGTTCATTCTTCAGGAATGCTTCCTTAGGCAAAAGAGTTAGGATGGAGCTGGCTGGTCTCTATCTAAACCCTCTTTCCTGTAGATGGTTGGGGTTTGGGGATTGACACATATAACTCAGGCCCCTCACAATGGCTGAGCACCCATCCAGAAGGACCCCTGTTGTTGCTGAAGTATTGTGACATGCCTCAGGCTATCATCTCTTTCCTCCTGCAGTTGCTGAAGAGTTGTCTTTTGAGCCCTTAATCAATCAATCAACCTACTGTCAGCAGTTAGAAAAGTTTCCCTCCTAGCAGTGGGTTTTCATCAATGGGCTTTGGAAGGGGATTTTCTTCTCCCTACCAAACACAGTGGCTAAGAGTCTTACCGCCTTGATTGTAGACCTCGAGGTGTCTGATGCATCCTAAACCTCACTGTCTCTGCTGGCTTGCGGTACACAAAACAACTTTGCTCAGCAGTTCGTATCTTCAAGAGCACAATATTAAGGGGAAGTGGTGGTACTTACGAGACCATTTGGTAGGTGGCGTAAGTGCAAGCGGGTCCTATGACGACACAGCCAAGTGCGTCGTTATCCTGCAAAGGATGAGAAAGGGTCAGTAGCAGGGACAGTGCAGAGCAATGTCAGAGAGAAGGAAATGGGAGAATGAAGAAAACTTTAGGGTTTGAGAAGGAGGCACAGAATTTACCAAACAAAAGCAAGAACAAGAGTGGCAAAGGATCTACAGAAAGGTTAAGAGAATAAGCCTAGGAGGAAGAAATCACCAAAAGCTAAGAAAAAGGCAGAAGACAGAATAGTATGATTATGACCTTCATTAAGAGACAGACAGCAAGTTAGGATTAAAATGTTGCATTTGTTAAAACTGTACATATGAAACTACACACCCCAGCAGTGCTTGCGCTTGAAGAAGACAGAGGAGTTGGAATTGCAGGATACTGTGTATCAGAAAAATTATTAGTTTTGTGCATATGAAGCTTGTATGAAAAAAAATCCTTCCATGACCACCAAATGAGGTGTGAGCAGTAGCTTTGTGAGTCGTGAGGGACTGCTTCTTAAGAAATACTATGGCATGTGCTCATACGTTGGTAGAATTCACATTGGATTGACAAAGTTTTGCTCAGAAGTGACAGTTATTAGATATGAGAAAATCCACCAAAATATATCTTCTTATAAGATACCGATTCTGACTGAAGCTTTTCCCCATATTAAGATATTCACATAGTTTCTCCCATGTGACTTCTGTGATTTCTAGTGAGAATTGAGCACTTCATCTTTGCACTCTGGGCATAGTTCCATAAACGTTTCTTTGGTACCAGTGCCAGCTTAATAACCTCTCTGCTTGCATGTTCCCATCCTTGCACAGCTCTCTTCCGTATTTATGTAAACTCATGATGAACCAGACCAGGGTCTGATCCAGTTGGAAGAGGACTTTTTTTCTCCGCTTGGGCTGTTTGAGTGTTGTGGGATTTTTTTAATGGATTGTTTTGGCTATGTGGTCACACAAAGAGCTGTGCACATATAAAAAAGAGAACAACTTAAGCACAGGAAAAGGAGCCTCAAGAAGAAGGCTGCTTTAGCCAGCACTACCACCAAATGTCTAAAGATAGCCTCCAGGAAGCATTCATAGAGTCTCTCTCCAGTATTTGCCTGCTTCTCTACACAAAACCTAGAGGAATATCTTTTCTTCAAAAACTTCACTTCTCTGTCAAGTTTATTTGGAACTGTTAATGATGAACATGTTAATAATGGAAGACAAGGAGACAAGTGCACACACGCATGAGGAGAGAAGAGCCCTGTCTTCTAAGGAAATCATCTTAAAGAAGCCTGCTACTCACATAAATTTCTTTGATGAGCTCCAAACCTTCACAGGTGCTGGTACGACAGCCTCGTGAGACATAGAATGATGATGTGAAATTGTGGAAGGTGGCATTGACTGTAATATTTTGTCCTGGAACACAGACATGAAATTAAATAGCATCATGAGTTGCAGACAGTCATTAATACACTGTATAGCCCTTCTACTGACACAAGTCTGAGCAGTGTTATGCTAGGATGTCTCCCACCAAAAAGCTAGTCCCTAACCCCCACTACATAGGATGAGACTGTAAAATTTGCTTAAGTGTGGACTTCTGCTGCTCAGTGTTAGTACTTTCAAAGTAGAGGCTAATCCAGCCAGGATAGGAAGTAAGGGCATCCCAGTGCACTAGATGAGTTGCTGGTCTTGTCTGATCCACTTCAACAATTCCCATGTTCCCACTCTCAACTGAACATCTCCCGAAGAGCATGCAGGAAGAGTCTGCCCAGACATCATAAAAGCAAATATGGTTCTACCCATCTGTAGAGCATTTCTGTTTTTACAGAAGGAGGTCATTATTTCTAAAAGATCTATATAAGGTGAACAGAGGAGCAGTTTGCTGGAAGTCAGATGAGTAGAAATCTGTGACACAAAGTCTGACAAGAAATCACAACAGGAGAGGGAGAGCCAACACCCATTGTCTTACCTTCTGTCTGGATTTCTTCTTGTACCTTTTTCAAGGCTTGACTTGCAGCTAATTTCAAACTGTCAGTAGATGACGGTAAGTCCGAGTAATTCATGAGCATCACATTGATCACATAATTGTTGTTGCTACACATATTTGAACCAACTTGCTGCAGCAGACAGAGTGAGAAAAACAAAGGCCGAAGGGCCAGACCCAAAGTCCATTTCTTCATTATTGCTCAGTTTAGACCCATTGTGTAGGTTTTCTCTTTTCTTTTTCTCTTCCAAATCTCTTTCTTTCAGATACACTTCATTGGTTTTGTTCCAGGATAGAACAAAAGAGACCTCCACGCTGTATATTCAAAGACAGACTGTACAATCCTTCTCTCAGGCACTTCCCTATCCTTCTCCTTGCCTTCACCTCTGCCCTCCCCTCCAGTAGACTAGCTGGCACTTCTGTTTGTGAAAAAGTAGCAATAGCAAAACTCAGGAAAGGAGAGAGGCTAAAGGTTGTTGTGAATGTTTGCTTATGGAAAGGCTGAGGCTATAAAATTGAAGCATTACCTGAAACCTTACCTGATAAGGGCACTAACTCTTCATCAAAGAGATGAGCTGAGAGAAGGAAGAGGAGCGGACAAAAGGACCGAAAAGGCAACCCTTTAAAATGGAAATAAAATACAAGGTCCATTAAAGCCTAGAGGAAAACAGGGGGTTACTTCATGCTTGCATTGCCCTACATCTCTGGTTACATTTCCACACCATCTCAGCTGACTGGGCTCATCAATGAAGATATATTTTCTTCTGTGATTAGTCACCAGTTTCATTCCTTTAGATTTTATAATTACAGCACTTTTTTTATTAGCAAAGCTATCCGACTTGCAGTCCTCCGGACCAAAGCTTTCGTTTCTATTTAGAGAGTAGACTCAGCATAAAGCTTGTCCACTTGTACTCACCCACCATTGCACCGCAGGTCTGCCACAGCCACATTTCTCCCAGGCAGCACAGGTCTCATTGCCCATTCCCACCTTGTCAGATGTCTCCTCAAATGGGGGCCCAACATATTCACACTTACATGATGCAACCTCTTGCATCAGGTAAGGATTAGGAAAGCTGAAGATCAGTTCTCAGATCTGTGGGACCAAAGCTGAATTATGAATGGCATCCCTAAAAGACACGCACTAAAGCATGCCATGGTATTGTTCCTGGGTAGGGCTTTTGGGCTTTCCTGAGTATTTTTCCTGAGAATGGTCTATGGAAGGCAGGTAGAACAAAAGGAACACAAAACCCCCACAAGACTTACGGATAAGTCTGGGCTCAAAGGAGAACTCCAACATAAAAGGAATGAACAGACAAATTTAAATAAAGTGACTGGTCTGAATTTGGGATGCTTGTGCACTCCTATAGGAGTTTCTGTTTCTCTTGTGAAAACTGAACTGAGGCTGTTAGATAATAAAACAGTTTACTTTTATTACCTTCCTGGACTAATTTTGAGACAAACAAGGAAAATAATCACCAATAAAGCAAGTAACAGTGCTTTTGGTATAAAGTAGAACTGCAATTCCACATTTTCTTTCGAAGCCTCTATTTAAAAGGTATTTAATACACTTCAGATATGTTGGCAGACTTTTTACTTGATCCAATTTTAATACCGAATGGTTATTGCTTCAGCCTTCCTTATATCCAACAGCAGAGACCATGAGCCAGCTTTTAAAAGCAGACCTTGAACACCTCAGCATGTCTAATCCATCATTTAAAATTAGGAATACAGCAATTTTAAATTAGCAGTCTGCCATATAAACATCTGGACTAATATAGCTGGCTAGAGCCACAGACTGAGAATGGAATTTAGCTTTTCACGGTGAGATCATCTGCTCATCACTGCCCTATTTTATAGATATTTACAAAGTCCTTGAAACTTATCTCATATAAGCCAATAAGAGATTTGTCATTAAATTCACCATAGGTAGTGCAAGTAGAATTGAGTATTTGGTATTGCTGGTCACGCAGTGAATATGTAATGGCACTGAGTTCTCCCTGATCTTGTATTTATTCGGTTTTCACAGCAGCTTAAAAATGTCCTTTAAAAACAAAAGGTAAAATCAACTATAGCCTTAGAACGGCATTTGTTTTTACTCTCTCCCTTGCTCCTTCCTTCATGGTGCCACAGGGAGTGCCCAACCAGAATATGTTTTAAATGAGTTGTTGACCTCTCAGCTTTTTAATTGCCCAGTGTGTGTAGTCTCTCAGTGTCAAGTCCCATGACTGGAGCACGCCTTGAGCACCAGGTGACATGGAGCCAGAGGGAGTGTGGCAGGAAGCTGCAGCTGGGATGAAGGAAGCGCTCCCTGGAACCAGCTCAATACCATGCTTTGCATAAGTTTCTGATACTATAGGTGATCATGAGGGTGGAGAGAAGGAAAAGTAAATGAGTCACATGTGTAAAGCACAAAATTTGATGGGCCTGCCACAAGCAAAAGCCAAACCTTCTGTATATTTGTGTTTGTTGCTGCCTGTGCCTGAGGGATCTTTAGTCCCCAGGGAACAGAAGAGCTGTAACACCAATGCCAGTCCATTCCTAGTGCCCTGACTGCAGAATGAAGCTAAGCTTCCAATGATCCCAGCCAACCTCATCTAATTTTTTCATAACTTGTAGCAGTCTATAAAACCAAGAGGTTATGAGTGAAACAAACCAACCAGATATCAAAAAAAAATCTTCCTTATATCTTCAGAACACTTTCCTCCCTATCTCAGTAATTTTTCTCCAACCATGAACCAGCCCTCACATTTCAAAGATTAGTTAGGGAGCGATAGACTTGAGAAACCTACAAGTCAAATTATGTGTCATAGGAGAGAGGGGAAAAAACCCACTTTTTGACTTCTACAGACAACTGCAGTTTTAATTAGAAATACCATCTTAGAAAAGAACTGCAAGTAATGGGAGCATCCTGACTGCAAATGCCTCTGCCCTCCCCTGAGAAAGAATGTGATGACACGGAGAAGCAGAGCAAGAAATTCAAACACCAGGAATATTCTGCCTAACATAACCTCCCTGACACCCTGAGGATAAGCCATAAAATATACCTCAAAAACACCTTTAAAACACGTCTTCTACAACTACCTAGTCTCTCTTAAAAGAGTCAAGGTTTAACCATCTTCTAAGGAATAAGGTGTTAAGAAACCACAACCGATGTCCCCAGTGCATTTTTTCTAGCTGTGGCTTCAAGGCATCAACTACTGTTATCATCTTATCAGAAAGGTAAAAAAGACCCCAGCATTAAATACCTTCACTTTGTCTAAGTATCTATCCAAAAGGTCAGTTCTTATGTGTACATCAGTTTGAGTATCTCATGATTATAATCCTAGCATTATTAACAGCTGCTGTAGGTCTCCCCTTGAATGACTGAATGCAAACTCCTTAGTTTATCACTTATTCTGCCTTCAGAAACACAGGGACAATGAAGGTTCAGAGGGGCAGGCCCTGTATTTATTTGTCTGAAGACAAAATTCAGTCTCTCACCAAGATCAGTAATATTGTGTCCACTTCTGGGCCCCTCAGCTCAAGAGAGACAGGGAACTGCTTGAAAGAGTCCAGCGCAGAACCACAAAGATGATGAAGGGAGTGGAACATCTCCCTTATGAGGAAAGGCTGAAGGAGCTGGGTCTCTTTAGCTTGAAGTGGAGATTGAGGGGTGACTTCATTAATGTTCATAAATATGTAAAGGGTGAGTGTCAGGAGGATAGAGCCAGACTCTTCTCAGGGATGTCTAATGACAGGACAAGGGGCAACGAGTGCAGGCTGGAGCATAGGAGGCTCAACAGAAACATTAGGAAAAGATTTTTCACTGTGAGGGTGACAGAGCACTGGCACAGGCTGCCCAGGGAGGTTGTGAAGTCTCCTTCTCTGGAGACATTCAAAACCCGCCTGGATGCACTCCCATGTGACCTACTGTAGGTGATCCTGCTTTGGCAGGAGGGTTGGATTAGATGATCTTTTGAGGTCCCTTCCAACCCCTGACATTCAGTGATTCTGTGACTCCTGCACATACATTGCATGGCTACAAAATATCATAATAGATCTCTGTGGGTGTTCTTATAATCTGTGTTAGATTAGAAATATCAACTCAACTCAAAGGATAACTGTATCATTGGTTTTAGTGAAGAGTGATTTTTAATGCCTTATTCTACAGCACTATTTGTTTGTTCTGCCCTCTGTTTTATTGGATAATAAACAGCCAGATATTACAGGGTGTATTTGACACAGGTAATCAACATGACTTCCTGATCTAAAACTACTCTGAGAGGTTCTCTCAGTCTTCTGGAATATTCAAAGACACTCAAAGAGAAAAAAAAGAAACAAGAAGAGTAAAAAAGCCCAGAAAGTTGTTCCTGTAAGTCTCTCAGCCTATGTAATATTATGCTTTATAGAACATTTTCCAGTCCTTTTTTAATGGTCCATATGATAGGGCTTTCCTCATTTCAATGTCTTCTTTTTTGTACAGAGTCTCAGAGTCCTGAAAATTGGGAATAACAGGCCAACCTAGGCATCTCAAAGGCCCTTTGCCTTTCCAGGTCATATTGCAAAAGTGCAACCATATTCAGAACTAGGCACTCTGTATTTCCAATACCTTTATCACAATCATTTATAGGATCTTTTCACACATGTAGCCTAATTTATTTTTTAATTAATTACAAATCATTATTTCCACTTTACCACTCAGAGAGGAGAAAATACAGAGAAGATATGGAGTGAAATTTTCAGAAAACTCAGAAGAGCCAAGGAAGCCAAAGATTTACGTGAAAGTATCAGGTGCCTCTAGTCAGTCAAACTACTGATGCGGAAGTTGGCACCAATAGTCCTAGTGAGTCTGAAGACAGCATAGACATATTGTGATCTCATCTTCAATTTCAAGCAATGTATCCTTTTTCAAGCAACTATATTGTAAAGCAACTAAATTGTAAATTGTGGGTTTCACAATTGTAAATTCTTCTTTATTTTTCTCCAGAGCCAGGAAATTTGATAGTCTGCAAGAATCTGAGGTTCCATTAAAATCAAAGAGACACTGCAAGTCTCCAGTGTTGCAGAATTGGGAAGTGTGAAAACAGGACATTAAAAAAATCTGAAAATATGTAAATAATAAGAACAGCAGATGCATTTAATTCTCACTTACAAATTTCCATGGTTTCAGCAGCCATGTCTATATTTTTGAATAAATGAGGTTGTCAATATTGTTTC